AAAAAAGCGTTAAAGTAACGCAAATAACGCTGCGTTACTCGTTACAAAAGCTATGAAAAATAAACGCATGCGTTACTTCGTTACCAGTAACGCAGTAACGCATGCGTTACTCGTTATCAGTAACGCAATAACGCATGCGTTACTCGTTATCAGTAACGCAATAACGCATGCGTTACTCGTTATCAGTAACGCAATAACGCATGCGTTACTCGTTATCAGTAACGCAATAACGCATGCGTTACTCGTTACCAGTAACGCAATAACGCATGCGTTACTGCGTTACCTGTAAAGAAACGGTAAAGCGCCACCCCTAGCGCTATCGCTATCATTTGGAAAATATTCAGTAAAGAAAAATTGCTTATATGAGGAAAAGGCTGCGCTCAATATAGTTGAGACACGCAAGTGCGATTTCATTTTTTTTGCGCCAAAATGTTCATTAGCATGTCCACCATCCGTGATGCATGCGGTTTTACTTCTAGGCTTTTTCACAGGTTTTCCAAAAACCCTATTTTTTTGAGTTATTTTTCATTTTTCTCAGCCAAGAAACACTTTTATTGAAAATTAATGTGATATTTAGAATTAGCATGAAAAATTGCATCGTGTAATGTATAATTTGTCAATTTTGCAAATAAAACAGTTTTTGACAAAAATTCAGAGCAAGGATCCCCTAAGGAACTTTTTATCGAAATTTAAAAAAAGAATGTATTTAGTCCGGCTCACACAGGCCACTCCGAAGAACGGATGCGTTTTCTACAGATCGGGCCAAAATTCTTACGTTCAAATGTGAATCAAGCCGAAAAAAAGCGATCCGAGATGATCTCTGATCCAAACATGTATTAACACACGAATAGAAACAAAATCAAATGATTACATCACTATTTTCTCTCTATTCTGATAACGAAAAGTAATCATTTACAAAACTCATCGCCTCCTCTCTCTCTCTCTCTTTATTCAATCACGTCATGTTCGAATAAATCGTAATTGTTGATCGTTTTTTTTTTTTTGCCTGTCTATATGAAAATTGTTTTTTTTTTATTTAAAAGATGTTTTGAATTTGATGCTAAATTACCAGTTCAAACTATTTTAAAAATTCAATTATGGGATTGGGATATGACAAGTGCAAATGATATGATTGCAGAAACAAAAATTGATCTTGAAAATCGTTGGTTTTCACGTCATCGAGCCACATGTGGATTACCAAAGCGTTATGATAGGTTAGACAAAAAAATGCAAAAAAATAAAGCAAATTTATGAATATATTTATGTTGAACTTCTTTTCTTTTTGTGATATGAATCTGTAGTGTTGGTTACAATTCTTGGCGTGATACAAAAAAGCCAGCAACAATTTTAAATGGATTATGTCGTGTAGCCAATATAGCATTACCTGTATATACATCGGATTTTAAATCATTAGCTATACATGATAAAAGATTTGATTGTGATAAAGAAGTATGGGAGTTTGCTTCAAAACAAAGTAGTGCACAAGAATTGTCATATCGTAAAGTACACCATGAATCACCAACAGAATATATAAAACAAAATACAGCATTAGCAGCATTACATAAATGGTCAGAAATTGATCCGGTGAGTTTTTTTTTTATTTTGTTTTGTGTTTTTTTTTAATAGAAAAATTTTATTCATTTGTTGTTCATTATTGTTTTAGAAAGGTGCTCTCGTTAGTGAACATATTGAAATTCGTAGTATTTTTAATCCACAATGGCCAGATATTGAACAAGGAAAATTAGAAATGTGGCTTGATTTTTTTCCTGCTTCTCGACCACCTGTTGGTTTGTATTTTATGTTTAATTTTATTTTTTGAAAAACAAAAAATACAAAAAAATATATATTTGCATTATTAAAGGTCCTCCAATTGATATTATACCGCCAAAACCGATAAAGTATGAATTACGTGTAATTATATTTAATACGGAAGATGTTGAATTATCAGATGAAAATATTTTAACGGGTGAAAAAATGAGTGATATTTATGTGAAAGGATGGATTCTTGGTGATAAACTTGATGGTCAAGACACAGAAACACATTATAGGTAAATAAGAAGAATGTCTGTCTAATTTTAATGAGTTTATGAGGGCAAATCCATCTGAAATGTCTTATAATTACAGCAACTTGCTCCACCTCATTTAAAACTAATCTAGTTTTATAGAGCTCATCAAGTTACATAAGAAACTATTTTTTCTGACTTCATAGATGATACATAAACCAAGAAAAATGATTTTTACTCTCCCAACAAAAGTATCGGCGTCACTCTTAATGCAAATTCATCAATACCGCGATAACTTTTACAATATGTTCTCCCTTTTTTCAGCAAAACTCTTAAAGAGTGAGACATGAACTATATTCTCTAAAATTTTGAAGGATGTTTCATGTAAGGTTCACGAGATATTTTTTAACTTTTTTACCTCTCATAACCACCGTACAAAACTGTTATGTGAGAAAAAAAAGAACAATGGCCAGTTAATTACTAATGGTGATAACATCATAGTAATGGCAGCCTCAGCTACTTTATAAACATTTGGAAAAGCAGCTTTTAATGGTCATAATCGAACTGAGAATGCAAGAAAACCTATAGGACATTGTTTTTTTATCAAAATCCAAATTTAAAATACTCAAACATAGTTCATTTTTAAAAGTTCAATATCGCATGAACTTTACATGAAATATCCTTCAAAGTTTTAGAGAATATAATTCATGTTTCATTCGTTAAGAGCTTTGCTGAAAAAAGGGAGAACATGTTGTAAAAGTTATCGCGGTATAGATGAACTTGCATTGAGAGTGACGCCGAATTACCCATGAACTAATTATGTCTTATGTTTTTGTTTGTTTTTTGTGCTTTTTAGATCATTAACCGGTGAAGGTAATTTTAATTGGCGTTTTATATTCAATTTTGATTATTTGGATATTGAAGATAAAATTGTTTATGATGCCAAAGACTCTGTATTTCAAGTTGGTTCTGTATTAAAAAAAATTCCACCTCGATTAGTTCTAAGAGTATATGATGCTGATTTAATATCAGATGATTTTCTTGGTGAATGTATATTAGATTTAACAAATATACCGTTAGGTGCAAAATCATCTAAAGCATGTAAAGGCACAATGTTAACTGAACCACACAAAGGAATAAGACGAAATTTGTTTGAAACAAAAAGAATTGCAGGTGAGTTTTGTTTAAGAAATTGAAGATAAGTGGCACGTATATAAAGTTCAATAGATTAAGTATTAAAGAATTACATACGATAATGAATAAAATCATGTACTTTTCAGTTAAATTTACTGAAAACTTACATACTTATCACAGAAAATTCTTAAAATTCAAAATATACTGAAATCGTTACAAAAATGACTGCAAAAGGAGGAAGGTGGATAAGACCATTTTGTTGTCTCACAATATTTTTGAAAAAGAATTAGATCTTCGGAATCAGCATCAAATTCTGTATCGAATGATGTATCTTCCATTGAAATTTGAGAAAAAAAGTTTTTCGAGGTTCCAAAGGAATCAATCATAGAGGCAAAAATTTTTCGAAAAAAATGAAAGTCGATGTTCGAGTGAATCAGATACGTCATTCAATACAGAAACAGCTTCATTTCGGTAAAAAGATGTAAGGCATGTAATCAATATGTAATACTAGGAGCGAATGGAAAAAACTTTCTAGCTTGAACTGATGTATGGTTCCCAGACAGGGAGGTACTGGCCCCTCCCCAAAAATATTTTTGGACTTTCGACAAAATCTTTGACATTTTTCAACCAGCAACTTTCTGCCAAAATTTTCGAAAACTTTTTTTCGTCATCCACGTTCGACGAAGCAGAAATTTTTGGCTGCTCCTGTCCCTAAGAACAATCAGAAAGCCTGAACTGGTGTTTATAGGACTAGACTGACGAGGAAAGGCCACCAACTGATTTTTTATAGGTTTTCCCATATGCTCTTTCATATGGACAGATCAGAAAAAAAACTGGCGGCAAAAGGTTTTTGAGCTGAAAAACCGGTTTTAAAGAGACTGGACTGGGATTGTCAATTTAAGTTTTCAGCGGACTGGAACTGAACTGACGAGGAAAGGTCCCCAACTGTCAACTCGCTTTTGAGCTCTAAGCTAGTGGACAATAGGTAAGCAAACATGCTGAATCCGACTATGACAAGCATTTGGGCTGCTAGGCCTCCGGAGCCCCGGTTTTTGGAAAACCAGTTTTCTACGTCAAAAACTTTTTTTTCCAAAAAATTTTCTGATCTGCCCAGATTGTAGAGCATATCAAGAAACCTATGAAAAACATATTTTTTAAATTTTTGTAAGGGCTTTGAAATGTTTTTCAAGGGCAAAACTAAGATTCTGTA